ATCCAACACATATCTCTCTGTATAGGTATAATCTCTATATTTTCTTCATAGAGGAAGGAAATGCCGTTCCAGTAATCGCATAGTTGTGACCAGAATATTAAATCTGACTTGCAGCCCTTGTCTAGTGTGACTATATCATGAATTTTCTCAAACGTTTTGAGAGTCTGGAAATAAAAGAACGACCTTGGGGAATGATCCTCATCGCAACATTGAGATTGAACATCCTTTTTTGTTAGGGTAGTAAATAGAGAATAAGATCTTATAAAACCTCTAATCCCAAAGACATAAAAACCACATGATGATCTGAAAACTCCACTGGTAAAATTGAGCACTCAATGAGCCGATTAGTGAAACAGATTTGCCACTCCTGCACTAAAATGTGTCCCATGACTATCTGTTGCCCCTTCCAGCACATTTTCCAATCGGCTTCATTATCTCATACGTCAATACAGCACATATAGGCTTTTTAACTGTATGCTTTCCAATAACAAATCACGTTTCTGTCTATCCCGCCTGTTTTATTGAAATACCTGAACACTCTTCTCATGTGTCTGAATGTGGGCTGGTGGTGTGTAGTAGTAATACACTCAGTACCAAAGAACATGGCAGCAGGCCTGAGCCTTTACAAGACAGAGAAGTGGATGACGTGCATGAGTTTATACTCAGTCTGGCTCAATCTGTGTCAAAATCACACACTAAACTCATGCTAGTCCACATAAGCAGACAGCTCACAGATATGTGCAGAAACGGTTAACATTCGTGTTATATTAGAGGTGATTTGTGGCATTATTCATAATGATGTAATGCTGATGGGAAATGGGGAAATGTGCAATTATACTGAATCTCTAAGTAACAAGCTTTCAGGAATAAAGCTTTAGAAAATTTAGGAAAAAATCACCCACATCCACTCAATAGGGAAGTGTTTTCTAATGGCAAAAACAAAATCAATTATGATCCTCAGTAGAAGAGCTTCAGGTTAAATCCTTCATGACTGACACTTTAAAGATGCATAAAAACTGCATTGTTTATCATTTAAGCTATTATAATCTTCTAAATCATCACATGTGAAATATATGCATCGCATCTCTTTTGTGTTCACTATCAACATGAGGATGAAAGTGTTCATTACTGTCATTATTACCATTAAGCAAGATGCGGTTTGATTGTTCTTCTAGTGTACCGTACTGTGAAAAAGTGTAATGTTCACAATATCTGAACATGAATGAGCTTTTCACCAATATTAAAGGTGCCATAGAATGGAAAACTGTGTTTATCTTGGCATATTTGAATAATGAGAGTTTTGTACGTGGAACGGACATACCGTGAGCCTCGAACACCATTGTTTCCTCGTTCATGTGTAAATCTGGTGTTTCTGAAAACCCCCAAAAAAGCCATTTCTGTTTAAATCGAGTGAACTAACAACATTAATGATAATTTACCCTGAGATGTCGAGAGATGTCTACAAAATACAAATGTAGATACATCTCTGTCCATCCCTTGTGTCGGTAGTGTTATAATGGCTATATTTCATCATCAACACTAGCTCAACATTATTATTCATGACCCTAAATAAGGAAAAAAACAGCCTATTTCATGCTGGGACAAATCCTAGAGTTATAAATGAACATGTAAAACATGTAAAACCTCATCTGGAGAATCTTATCTAAGCCACAGAGCTTCATTTACTGTAGATATCAGGATAATTAAAATATACTATCAATGCATTCTATGGCACCTTTAATACCTTTAACACAATATCATTTAACATTTGGAAGGCATATTTTGTAAATATTTGTAAATATTCAACAGAAACCCTTATTTCTCATGTGGATTCAGTTCATATACTTTACATTTATCACTAAGTGTCAATAACTGGAATCTGACTCAGATTAGTGGAACTCAACATTTACTGACAGATTCATTCACAAACATCAGTGTCTTTTATTTATTTTTTATTATTGTATTTTGTTTAATGTGTTTATATTTTGTATGCTGCATGGTTTCTTTTTATGCTTTCTGTTTATATGCTCAATGTTTTATTGTATTGCACTTTGGTGCAACTCTGCTGCTTTTAAATGTGCTATAGAAATACATTTCTACTTGGCTTGACTTGGAATGAAACTGCAAATAAAGATTTTGCTTTCAGTAGAAAAAGTTGCTATAAGATTGTGTCTTTATTTAGTCCTTACTGCATAACCATAATTTGATAAACCTATATATGAAAAAATGTTAGTATTACATCACTGTATTAATGGCTATTCGCATTCTCCTCTGTATAACACTTGTGCTGCTGTTAATGGTTGTATATTGTGTAGTGTGGTTTGCTGATTGCTGATGCGGTTGCGTGTGCATTAACTGTAAAAGATGTTTGGTGTTTCCGTAGTTAACTCAGACTATAAAAGATAAAAGATTGCAGAGCAGTTCATAAACACCATCATCATCTCCTGATGAGCAGCGTCTTCAGTCTTCAGTCTGATTCCTGGTAAGATCATGTCGTCTCATTATTGTGTCCTTGTGTTTCAGCCTTTGCTCAAACGTTAGCACATGTTGTTCAGCTCTCTAGTGTGCTTGATTATGTGGAGAAGAAACTAAAGAAACTAAGGTGGAATTGATATAAATGATACTGTACTAAGTGTGTTTTAAATGTATTATTTTGAATAAACTTTTCAAGATATCCTTAAGATCAATTTTAAGCTATTTGGAAAATATTTTAATATATTAAATTGTGCTAAAATGAAACCTTCGAGTATATTTAGTGTATTTAAGATTATTTCTTTACAGTTCATTTAAAATATACTTTCCTATTTCTTAAACTACAGTTAGAATATATCTGAAGCTTAATTTGAATGAACTTCAAGGACATTTGAATAGTATTTCAGCTCATTAGAATATTTTATTATAAAGCTGTTTTTTCAGTATTCAAATTTGTATATTAAAGGTGCACATATAATTAAATATAAATGTTAAGACATACACACTCTGAAAGAGCAGTGAGTGATTTCTTCTTTGTGTTTTGTTGTTTTATTAACATTAAAAGGATGCTTCTCCCCAAAATTAAAATGGTCATCATTTTACTTTCTCAAGTTGTTTTATACCTGAATAAGTTTATTTCTTCTGTTGAAAATAAAAATTATTTTAGAAGAATCTGGGTAACCAAACAGTTGATGTACCCCAGTGACTTCCATAGTATATTTTTTTCCTATGGAAGTCAATGGGGTACATCAACTGTTTTGTTACCCACATTCATCAAAATATCTTCTTTTGTGTTCAGCACAAGAAATAAATGAATACAGGTTTGGAACAACATTTGAGTGAGTAAATAATGACACAATGACACAGTTTGGGTGAACTATCCCTTCAAAAGACAAGCGGCAGCATGTTTACTATTAGGCTACTGTCTCTTTAAGACCTGCATGTGACGCGTCTAGGATACACGCATTTGACAAGCAGATTTTCTCTAAATTTTCTGTTTGTTTCACTTTCTACATTAGCGAAATAAGACTCGAAAGATAACTTAGTCCAGTTAGACAGGCTTTTGGTGCATGTGCGCTAAGAACGTCTCGGTTACGCATGTAACCCTCGTTCCCTGAAGGAGGGAACAGAGACGTAGTCGACGTGTCGACTGATTGGGATCACGCTTAGAGAAACTGTCATCTTCGAGTACTATTAAAACGAGTCAATGTAATTGGTGTGCGTGAAATGCATTACACACTCAGTCGCCGTGGCGCGGCTATAAATACAGAAGTGGATGCACGCACTAGTTGTTTTTTTTTTGAGGAGCCGAGCGTAACTCGGAATCAGCGGTGGTCCAGCAATAGTCGTGACGGGATTACGTCTTAGTTTCCTACTTCAGGGAACGAGAGTTACATACGTAACCGAGATTTTCCCTTTCAGTCGCTCACGTTCGACGTAGTCGACGTGTCGACTGATTGGGATCTCAATTAAAACGTCATCTACTGCTGCATCCTTCAAGTGCCTAGACAAAAGCCTTCAGATCCCCCCGCAATTAAGGAATGGACGGGGCTTAGGCCAGGGTAGTCACTGCTGTTCCTACAGGACCACTGGGAAAGGGACGCTGCAGAAGCCACATTCTGCCCGAAGGGAGATAACACGCAGAATACACATTTGAACTGGGCGATTGACCGGCAGTTTAACATATGAAATGTCACTCGGGTGGCTCCAGCCTAACAGGGGGAGACTCAACCGAACAGTGACGGCAGAGCAGGCTCTGCCAAAGGAAGACACGGGCTCTCCGCAGGGAGCTGTACCATGGAAGAAAATACAAATGGGATCGCTGTAGGGATCACAGCATATAGACCCAGACTAACACAGGTTGCACCAGTGCATTCGAGTGATAGGCCTGGCTTTTGACGTTCCGCCATGTCCGTTGCCGAAGGGTATGGGGTAAGGGTTCGGCTAAAAAGGGGAACTCAACTGGAGGAAGAATTGCGCACGTAACCAGTCCATAGGAGGGGAATGGCGCGGCAAGCTGACACAATGAACCGGGCTTACAGTGAAACTGGCTTCATGTGAAGGGAGCCCACGGGAAGCAGCGGTTCGACTAAGGTGTCGCCCAGCCCTCAACTCTAGAATATCTGTCAGCGAAGCACTCTGTGTCAATGCCTAAGTGGGAGCACACACCCATTTAAAAGAAGCTCACCATCTCGGGAATTTCACCAAGATGAAGGCAGCCACTTTCATGGGCCAACCACGCTTGGAAACAGCCTTCCCTCTCTGAAGAGCTGGTCTGAGGTCACAAGGCTTATATTCTGTGCATGTAAAACCGCAATGAAACGGACGGACAGAGAAAGCCAGGACTGGGTCTGCCTCCTTCAGGCAGTGCCTGCAGACTCACCACCTGGTCCCAGTTTAAAGGGTTAGTTCACCCAAAAATGAAAATTAAGTCATTAATTACTCACCCCCATGCTGTTCCAACCCCGTAAGACCTTCGTTCATCTTCGGAACACAAATAAAGACTTTAAGATGTGTTTTTCTCCAGTGTGTGCAGTGAATGAAGAGCTCTTTAAACACGGCAGTGGAAACTTGTGAAACATCTGTCAGTCTGTGTGTTATTCCACAAACTTCTGCTTTGACCTGCAGACCAAACACACACTCCTGTCAGTAACGTAAGTTCTTCAAGGTTTATTCCTCATTTAAAAAACCATTGTACACTTGCAGCTGTGCTGGACTGAATATTCAGAACAACATCATTCTTGCTTCTGTCATATTGTTCAAATGGAGGATTTACAAACTTTAAAGGGACACTCCACCCATTTGCATTAAGCTTTCCATTGTTAGAAACCCAGTCATACTATTGAATGGTCGTGCAACACTCTCATTTTCCCCTGAGACGAGAGAAATCCGCTATTTACCTTTTTCACTTCCTCCAAATCTATGAATTTGGAGGAACAGTGTGCGACCCTCTGTAAGCCTTGGGGGGCATTTCTGAAAAGACTACAAGCACTAGATCCCACCCTTTCAAACCCACCCATAGGGAGTTGGGCCTAATGCGCGAATAGACCTACCACAGATCAGTGCCAGTGCGTTTGATTTCACCGGCAGAAACCTTTTGAAAATATGGACGAAGCTAAACACGCAGACGTATGCATTATAGAGGATTGGGATTACACATAGTGTCAGACATCTTTTTTGGAAGCTAAGCTAGCAGGCTCTTGTTCTGTGGAGAAAGCCGAGTAGTAACTTTAGGGGTTGCCGTCCTCTTTTTCCCGGACATGTCCGGCCATCGATGTCCGGGATTCAGCTTTCACTTTCTGCAGTCGCCATGTATTGTTTACATGTACAGCTTTTGTTTCAATCAAACTGAATTCATTCTGATTGGTGAATCTGAATATAGTGTTTACATGAACGCTAAAAAGTGATCGGTTGATGTGTGTTTTAACATTGCTAAGAAAATTCCCACTCCTCCGTGAGAGATGCGAGACCGGTGCGTCTCACAGGTGTCGCTCATCGGTGATCACGCCACCGGCCTCACTCATCCCGCTCGCCACAGTAAACGTGACTCGCGCCGTTCTCCCGCGGCCCTCACTCGTCCCGCTCGCCACAGTAAACGTGTCTCGCGCCGTTCTCCCGTGGCCCTCACTTGTCCTGCTTCCTAGGGCAGCGAAGCAAGTGCATTCTGGGAGTTGTTGTCTTTCATTCACATAAGCCAAAAATACATTTTCTGGTTTTTCTATGTAAGCTCCAAATTCAAAAATAATTTCACATTTCTTCTACATAAATTACCCATTTTAAACACACATTCATCTTGAGGTGGAATGACCCTTTAATCTTACATTTCACGTATTTCAAGCTTTCTAACATTACACACACCCCACTAAAGAACATGTGAAGCAAACTGAGCAAACTTTATTTCAACAATCACACAGAATATTTATCTCCGATGTTTTTATTAAAGAAATTATTTGATTACAATAGTAAATGAATGCATGTTTTTTTAAACCAATGACTGGTTTGTTATTTAGTGCCTGTCAAGATTTCATGAAACAATGGCAGAACTAAACGCCAGCATCAACGGATCAACTGGAGGAGATTATTATATCAACAGATCAACTGGAGGAGATATTAAAGATGAATGGAGTCGCCAGATGAATGAATTTCTCAACAAACTTGATGATGCACAACAATTAATTATCTGGATCATTTCACCCATCGAGATTGTAATCATGATCTTAACTCTGTGTGCGTTGTGTGCTCTTCTCAAATCTCAGCGCTCCACTCCAGTTTTTGTTATTCACTTGATTCTGTCAGATCTCATTCAGATCATTTGTAAATTAATATGGTCATTCACAAAGTCACGGGAGCTGAATAAGGCATATATTTATGGTTTTATTGCGGGTCTGTATTTTATGGCATGTGTTGCTCTTGAACGATATCTTCTGGTTTCTCATCCTATCTGGTACAGAACTCATCATTCACTGAAAGTCTGCTGTGTTATTTCTGTAATCGTCTGGTTTGTTCCTCTGATCTTTGCAGACGTTAACTCCAATTATCTGTTTAGCTCTCTGCCCGTATCGATCGCCTGTTTAATCCCCTACCCGATAATCATTCTGTTTTTTATCGGCACTTGTCGCGGTCTTTCACGCGCAATATCTCTTACTTCTGTAAAGCGCAAAAAGATTTTGGGCAGTTTGTTTCTGGTGCTTCTGACTTACACTTTTCTCATTCTCCCCTTCATAATCATGACCTTTTTTATAAAATATATTGGTTACAGTTCCACTTACGCAATGTTATTGCACAATATATTTTGGTATTTTTCTGAATATCTCCTGTTCCTGAACCCGCTGGCTGACTGTGTCCTGTACATGTTCATCAGGCCTGATGTCGGAGGGTTAATGAAGTCTGTTCACTGCTGTTGTAGAACCGACACACATCAGGATTCGACACACACACGGGACGAACACTCTGGAGACAGTAGTGCAGCGTTTGCCTGCTGTGTTTCAGTGCTAAAGCCTGCGTCTCATTCACGGACCTGCACTTCAGTTTCAACATCTGCACATACATGAAGTCAATGCCATTCTGTTCACTCACACACCCTTCCTTTCTATGGCATTCAGCTTTATTAGAGACAACTCTTGATTCATCAAACTCTAAACTCAATTGCTCTGTTTGCGGCCCATAAAACAAATGCGGTGAACAGAGTTTTATTAAAGATGTGTTGATGTAGTGTTGATGCTTCTGCTGGCGTTCGGGATCAGCAGGACTTTATCATACGATGGAGAGGAGGGGGTGTATAAAGCACGGTTTATTCTCACTTCATTCCCCCAGATCAACAACATCAAGTAGTTTCAGCTCGCAGTCTTGCTCGTGTTCCTAATGCATGCACATTATACTCGTTTTACCAAATAACTACTATTCACACTGTTACAAAGATAGTCCACTCAAAAACTGACATAATGTACATATACTCTCATGTCAATCAAAAGATGAATAACTTTCTTTCTTCTGTGGAACATAAAAGACAATATTGTGAGATTTTTTGTCCATACATTAGAAGTCAGTGGACAGTTTCGGGTGAACTATCCCTAAAAACTCTTGATTTAAAGTGCAGATAGTATATCAGAAGAGATCTAAGTTTATATTAAATATTAACTTGCATGGAAATGAGAAGAGAGTTATTTGTAATATTGTTGTGTCTTTATAGAAGTGTTTCATGTGTCACATATGGAGACAGAGTCTGTCCTGTATTCTCTCTCTTATATCATTAATATAAATAAAGAGCTCTCAGTTCTCCTGTGTGTGTTTCTGTCTTATTAGACTAATAACAGCTGAGTTGAACTGGACGTGGAGAAGCTCAAAGCAAACCCAGAAACCAACTAAAACGCTCTTTTTGCACCAAGAGGAATTCCCACCTTTGTGTGTGTGTGTGTGTGTGTCTCAACCCGGTCTCACCCCAAGACGTCATATAACTGACGTTTTGGGACGTCTTTTGACCATACGTCAATATTCACCTTTTTAGGGCCCCCTTAAACGTCGGTAGATGAGGTTATGGGATCCTAACTCTACCCCATACCTAAACCTAACCCTAAACCTAACCCGTCACCTAACTGACGTTAAAGGTAAAGCGTCAGTTGTATGACGGCCCGGGATCGCCATCTACCGACGTTTAAGGGGGCCCTAAAAAGGCTGATATTGACGTATGGTCAAAATACGTCCCAAAACGTCAGTTATATGACTTTTTGGGATGAGACTGTGTTATGTGTGTGTGTGTGTGAGAGAGAAAAAGACTGGAAAAACTAGTTGAGGAACGACCACTCGAGTGGACAAAGGACCTGAGTATCACTCTTGTGTGTGTTAAACAGTCTACTTAATACAGACAGCTTCATTATAAAGATAAACAAAAAATCTCCAAAATATATAATCATAATCTATGACAAAAATGCTATTATAAACTAGATTAGTGAATAATACACATTGCTCTTTATATTGTTGTAAAATACATTCATGAAAAACAAGATAACAAAAATCAAAAAGATAATTATTTTAGATATAGCCAAGGCTACTATAAAAGTGAGACAACATGCTTTAAATGCATAGCACAGCTGTTTAATGAGGCAACAACATATGATAGATACATACGACAGAACAAGAAAGGCTATTAATAAGCTTTAATTGCATCACTGCATTATGATATGAAAGGCTTCAATTCAGTGCGGCACAAAGCGCTTATGCGCATCCCGAGCGGAGAAAGATGCGCTTGAAGCCACGTGGAGTTACAGCGCGCAGCGGTCGAGTTCGCACTCCGCATTGAAGGGGTTCAAAGCACAAAGGAAATACATATTGATGGACAGTGTATTATACAGTATCTATCTATGCAATCGTTTATTGAGCCTTTTCTTTTAACAGTTTTAAATTTCAGTTACTATGTGCTTGAAAAACAATGATATGCCTAGTGCTCTGACTCTAGTGTTGTGATCTAACCGACAGCGCCCGACACCTGGTAGAAAGTAACATGATTAAGTTACACCAATAAACTCCAGCAAGATAAAGTTGCTTTATTCGAAAACATATACCTTTATTTAGAGATCAAGTATAATAATATTAACATTGAATCCTCTTGAAGATAGTTTCATCATTGACTGTAACCGAACGCGACGCGCTGTTTGAACACTGATGGAGAATGACTGACAGCCGCAGAGGAGGGAAAAGTTTACGTGAGCTTGAATTTAATGACTTAAATATTAATTTCTCTCACATAATGGCTTCAGAACACTTATTATAGAGTGCACGAACACGTTATGGTACTTTAGAATGTTGTGCCTTTTGTGGGGCTTAACAATAACACATAATATATACGCACAAACATTTTTGACCCAAATACAAGATTAAGGAGGGTTTTTTTTCACCCACTTAACATTGTAGAATTGAGTCAAAAAAATTGTGTGTGTTCAGGAGGCAAATTGTTATGTATTTGCTCTGATTTCAGTGCATATAAGTAAGTACAACTTTGTGTCGTGTTAGAACATTGCCCTCCACTATGAATGTGTGCTAAGTAAGCGGATGGATATGTTTACTCTCGTGTGCGACACTTGTTCAGTAAACTAAAACATGTTAAACGCTATTGTGAGTCTGTGCCTCATTAGAGTTATGTTAAGGTCAGCACTGTCAATCATATCTTTCAACGACTACAAGGCAAAATTCCCAGACGCAAAACGCAAAATTCCCAGACGCAAAACTGTCACTCACTAGAGTAAAGTTGAAAACGTACACAGGTGAAAATGTTACACCACTGGGAAAACTCAAAGTGAAAGTGAAATATAAAAACCAAACCTGCAATCTTGAGCTGTTTGTTCTGAAGGATGGAGGGGTGCCACTGTTTGGTCGCAGATGGCTAAGACAGATAAGGCTCAACGGGCACGAAATAAAAACTTTGCGTATTGCCTCCAAACAGCCCACTGACAAAAAGTTATCTGAAATACTTGACAAGCATGCCGAAGTCTTCAATGAAGGCATTGGAACCATGAAGCACATCAAAGCGCGGCTTGAGCTGCAAGAAGATGCAAGACCAAAGTTTCACAAAGCACGCCCTGTTCCATATGCGCTACGGCCAAAAGTGGAAGCTGAGCTGCAACATCTCATGGATTACAAATATTATCCAAGGTGGACTGGTCTGAATGGGCTACACCAATTGTGCCAGTTTCTAAAAAGTCTACAGACAAGTTGAATATTTGTAATCCTGTACTTCACGCAGACCAGTATCCGCTACCTCGCATTGACGACATTTTTGCATCCTTAGCAAATGGTGAACACTTCACAAAGACTGACCTTGCACAGGCTTATCTACAAATGGAGATGGATGAAAGCTCACGCAAGTACCTCACCATCAACACCCACAAAGGACTCTACCAATACAACCGGCTCGTGTTTGGCATCGCAAGTGCTCCAGCAATCTGGCAACGTGCTATGGACCAGGTGCTACAGGGAATCCCTGGTACCCAATGTTACTTGGAGGACATTATTGTGACAGGCTCAGACAAAAACTCACACTTGGTCAATTTGGATGCAGTTTTGACAAAACTGGGGGAATATGGACTTAAAGGAGAACTCCGGCGAACAATGAACCTTTGGTCTAATAAAACATCGGTACATAGTCAACCGTTCTCTGAGTTTTGTTTTCATGATAATCGAATGTAAAGAGTTTTATCTCTAAAAACTGTTTAGCGTATAATGCTAGTAATGGGGGCATTGACTAAGTAAAAAGAAATCACTAGTTTATACCACTAACAAGGCTCAAAATAGCCCCACACTAACACAGTAACATAATGAGGCTCCATGCATGCAAAACGAAGCATTGAGAACTTTGTAAGTGTACAGACCGTTTAATAAGAAGATACTTTATGAAGACAGTTCACTTCGCGTAATACGCGTATACAGGCAGGAGCCATCTTAAAAAATAGTCTCGATAAGTCGATCCCCGAACGCCGTTGATACAGTTCAGAAGTTCGTTGAACTTCATAGAGTTCAGATCACTCAGCACGACGTTCGTGGTTTGACTTATCGAGACTATTTCCTAAGATGGCTCCTGTCTGTATACACGAAGTGAACGGTCTTCATAAAGTATCGTCTTATTAAACGGTCTGTACACTTACAAAGTTCTCAATGCTTCGTTTTGCATGTATGGACCCTCATTATGTTACTGTGTGAGTGTGGGGATATTTTGAGCCTTGTTAGTGGTATAAACTAGCGATTTCTTTTTACTTAGTCAATGCCCCCATTAGTACTAGCATTATACGCTAAACAGTTTTTAGAGATAAAACTCTTTACATTCGATTATCATGAAAACAAATCTCAGAGAACGATTGACTAGGTACCGATGTTTTATTAGACCAAAGGTTCATTGTTCGCCAGAGTTCTCCTTTAAGGCAAATAGGAAGAAATGCGAGTTCTTCAAGGAGTCCATTGAGTATTGTGGACACAAAATAGACAAACAGGGACTTCACAAAACTCAGGACAAAATTGAGGCCATTGTGAAATCTCCACAACCAGAAAACGTAAGTCAGTTACGTTCATTCCTCGGCCATGTTAACTATTATCACAAGTTTTTGCCAAATCTTTCAACTGTGCTGCACCCACTCAATGCACTGCTGTAATCAAAACACAAAGTGTGAGCAGTGAGCAGGCGTTTAAAAAGGCAAAGAATCTCATCATTTCAGACAAAGTTCTGACTCATTATGACCCAAAGTTGCCTCTGCGCCTAGCATGTGATGCTTCACTTTACGGTATTGGTGCCGTTCTGTCACACAAAATGAGTGATGGCTCTGAACGCCCCATAGCTTTTGCATCATGCTCTCTGTCACCTGCTGAACGTATACTACGCACAGATAGACAGAGAAGCTTTAAGTTTAGTGTGGAGAGTAAAAAAGTTTAACCAGTATCCATTTGGCAAGCATTTCATGCTGATTACGGATCACCAGCCATTTTCCATTTCCAGTCCACACAAAGGTGTTCCCGCTATGGCTGCGGCTCGTTTACAGTGTTGGGCTCTCTTTCTGGGAGCTCACACCTACACCATTGAATACAAAAGGACAAAACTACATGGAAATGCAGATGGCCTGTCTAACCTTCCTCAGTCATTTTCAGGGAAGGTTTCTGATCCTGCTTTAACCCTTCACATGTTACAAATGGAACCGCTCCTTGTGACAAGTGCACAAATAAGCAATGAAACAAGAAACGACCCATTGCTTTCCAGAGTGTATGCTTTAACTGTGAATGGTTGGCCAGCACATGCAGATACAGTACTTTCGGACTATTCCACCAGAAAAGACCAACTTACCGTGTGTCAAGGATGTGTCATGTGGGGATCACGTCTAATTGTACCCCCCAAACTGCGACCCAAAGTTCTTAACTCACAGTATGAGGGACACATGGGTGTGGTGAAAATGAAAAGTCTCGCTAGACTATGTGTGGTGGCCTGGCCTTGACAACCAAATTGAAACTGGTCAAAACATGCACAGGTTACCATCACACTCAGCCCCAACCTCAGATTGCACCCTGGGAATGGCCAGTTGCCCTGTGGCAACACCCTC